CAAAAACAAAGTGGATAATAATTACAACTCACAATTGGATGCCAACGCAATTAACTCTTTTTATTGCTCAATTGCCTCTCTGCTTGGCAGAAGTATTCCGTGTACCTCGGCTCACCAACTATCTCACCTGGAGGTTAAGTCTGGAGATTCATTTTACTTCACACCTGTAGTTGCTGAGGAGATTTTAGATATTTTGAGAGAGAGTAAGAGTAGAGGTTCATCGGGCTGGGATGATATCTCAACGAGGGTTCTGGCAAATCTACCCATACCAGCTCTGTCAACATTAGCTCATTGTATTAATACCTCCATTTTGAGCGGCGATTTTCCAGATCTGTTGAAGAGAGCTATTGTGATTCCAATCTTTAAACAAGGGGAGGATGTTGCCTCCAATTACAGACCAATATCCCTGCTGCCTTCATTATCAAAAATTGTGGAAAAAGTGATTAAAAAAAGAATGGTTCACTTTTTGGAAGCAAAAAATATTTTAAATAAGTCCCAATTTGGTTTTCAGTCTTCCAAGAACACAAACGATGCGATCTTCCACATTCTGGAGAAACTCTACCTGGGACTAAATGATGGGGAAGTGGCTGCGGTAGTGTTCTGCGATCTAGCAAAAGCCTTCGACTGTGTGTCGCATGAAATACTGCTGCAGAAACTTGAATTCTATGGCTTTAGGGGATGTGTATTGAGTTGGCTAAGGTCTTATTTGTCCAATAGGTGTCAGATGGTTCGTTTTGCGGATTGTGTTTCAGGGGAATTGGGTGTCACAGCGGGTGTGCCTCAGGGCTCTGTACTTGGTCCGCTCTTGTTTCTCATCTATGTTAACGACTTACCATTAATAATCAGAAACGGCCATTGTACATCCTTTGCCGATGACACTACTCTGCTTTGGCATAGCCAGGATCCACATATTCTTAGTGAAATGATAACCCAGGATCTGGCTAGTCTGAAAAGATGGTGTGACGGCAACTGTTTGTCTTTTAATGTATCAAAGACAAATATTTTAAATTTTAAGTGTATGTTAAATGATATTTGCTTAGACTCTCAGCCAGTCACGAGGACAAATTATAATAAATTTTTAGGCTTAGTTATCGACGATAGGTTAGGGTTTGACAAACCCATTGAGCAGCTGTGCTCGAAACTAGCATCAGGCTGCTTTGCAATAAAAACAATTAGGAGTGACCTGAATGTTGCAGTGGCTAGAGATGCGTATTTTGCTTTAATTGAGTCACATCTAAGATATGGTGTATGCTATTGGGGTAATTCATCCGCTTATCTTTTGAATTCTTTGTTTGTTTTACAGAAGCGTGCCCTAAGGTGCTTGTGCGGGCTTAGTTTTAGGACTTCGTGTAAACCATATTTTATTAGTGAACGAATTTTGACTCTTCCAGCAATTATTATACTGGAAACTGTCTGTCTGATGCATAAGAAGCATTCCTCCATCATTCACTCCTTAAACACAAATAATACCCGCTCATCTTTTAATATAAATTTGCCAATTCCTAAATTGACACTGACTCAAAATTCGATTTTCTATAAAAGCAAAAAGATTTTTAATCACTTACCAATGTCATTTCGGAAGATAGTGTCATACAGATTATTTAGACAACAGATAAAAATGTTGTTGCTTGAAAAGGCATATTATAGCATGGAGGAATACTTCCTTGACCATTTTTAGATTCTTACATTTACGTTTTTGTGTTTGTCTTGTGGTTTGAACTTGTTTGTAACATATTATTTTATTTTATTTTATATAGTGTGCTTGTATAGTTTATATTCTTAGCACTAAGTTTGGCTTTGTCTACAAAAATTGTTTTTTTTTGACAATAAAGCATATTTGATTTGATTTGATATTGCTATATCCGAAACGGTGAGAGCTACAAGGGCGGTTAAATTAGAAAAAAGCTGCCTTTTTTGGTGCCCATTCAAGACTCGTTTACAGTGTTGCCAAATTCTCTTTAGTTTATGAAATACAGGGTGATTTCTAAAAAACGCCCAAAAATATTTCATCAATTATTTCGAAAACTATTGATTTTCGAGATATAATTTAAATTGGAAAGTTTTATAATTTTTTTTGCTCTACAACAAGGCGTCTTCAAATTTCAAATCCGACGTTTCGTGATCGAGCTACCATCATCAACTAAATTTTTTTAAATACGGACCTGGATTTTTTATTTCATTATTAGAAAGCGCCCTTCTTTCCCTTTCTAAAAATTACATAAAAGATTTAGGTCCGTATTTAAAAAAACTATGTTGATGATGGTAGCTCGATCACGAAACGTTGGATTTAAAATTTGAATATGCCATGTTGAAGAGTGAAAAAAATTATAAAACTTTCAAAATTAAATTGTGTCTCGAATATCAATAGTTTTCGAAATAATTGATGAAATAATTTTAGGCGCTTTTTAGAAATCACCCCGTATTTCGTAAAGTAAAAGGAATTTGGCAACACTGTAAACAAGTCTAGAATGGGCATCAAAAAAGGCAACTTTTTTCTAATTTAACCGACCTTGTAACTCTTACCATTTCGGATTTAGCAATAGTGGTATCACTTAAATTATACACCCTGTATAATTATCAGATTTTAAATGTAAGATCCTTATCATTTTAGAAACATGTAGTTTGTCAATCTTTTAAAATAAAAAATGAGGGAGAACTTTATCGTTATTGAAATTATTCTTATCTGTCTTACACTGCATATATTTCTTTAAGAAAAAAACTTTACCTTATATAAGACTTTTAAACAAATGGATAATTATAGCACATACATCTAATCGCCTAAGTGCTTAAATCACAAATTGTAAAAGTATATTAGCAATAAGGACTCTTTGTAAAACAATAAAATTCAAAATAATTCCGTAATATATTTGATTTTATTTGATATCGTTGAAATCAGGTTAAAGGGACTAATAAATAAGGGCACAATATACAGGGACTTCCAATTAAAAAAATATGAGTTCGCTCTTCTACACTTTTTTGACGCACCCCTGTATGCTTGAAACTTACTATAGGCGATTTCGGCTCAGTTTGGTACTCCAGTTTGGTCTGTCAAACAGGTACCATTCAATTTCGGATGGGTGATTGATGCCGTCACGGCAACTTTAGTAAATAGGCCCTTCGGTCTGTCAAATGCTATACCGCAGTTTGAATGGGTAGTGAAGGTTTGGTATAGTCCGACAAATACCATTTTAAAGTCACTTGATACTGGTGGCAAAAAACGTATGTCCATTGATTATGTCGTTGATATCACCTACAAAAAGCTACTGGTGGTTAATTACTATTGAATTTTAATATATGTTCCCACTAGCATTTTACAAGCGCGTTTCTGAAGTAGTATTAACCAATCAGAGGGCAATTTTAATACTTGCAATTGTTGCGAGACTCACATTCTGAACTTAAACTGAGTACCCGTTTTCTATTTGCTTCTTTTCGAGTTGGAAAAAGGTTAATATAGTCAAAATTATTAGCTGTGTTTGTTCGTTGTATTACTTTCGAAAATAACTTTGACAAACTAATTGATGGCAGTGACGGATTCTATTTCAGGTAAGAATATTATGAACAATAATTAGACAGCAATTTTTTTGTCAATTTTACTATCACCGCTGTTTGAGATGTATTCAACAAGGATAGAGAAAAATCACGTGACTTTAAAAAGGTATTTGTTGGACTATAGCTTTCTTTTTCCTTTTGTCTCATGTCCAAATAAACATATCAAAGTCAAAATGTATCAAACACCCTATCCACTGAATTCGGATGAGATTGTTGAGCTATGTCAATTACGTACCAATTGGTTAACCATTTGCCTACCAAACAGCAGATGAAAATCTGGGATGAAATCGCCTTATGTAAAGACTTCTGACAGTTTCTTAAAACTTTTGTATTTGACACTTCTATCAAAAACGTCAAATTAAAAAGTTAGGAGGGACGACATTTACTATAGATCACCCTATACATACATAAAGATAATAATCATTGATTATTTTCTACCTTTTTAAATTTATCTTGTATAATACTTTGTTGAATTTTAAGTTTACTCATCATGGCCATCATGTTTTCTTTCTTAGCTCCTCTCCGCTTCATTCTTCACTTAAAGCTTCAATGATCTTCAAGATTCTTTATTTCAATCTTTTTCTGATTTTCTATTTCGTATTTAAGCCCCAATTATAGATCGGAAACGTTGCAGTTCGAGATAAAACCAGAACAACTTTTGGACGTCAGGTGTTAAATGCAACGGCTGACGTTAAATTTGTAATCAACATAATAGAGAGATATCGGTGAACCAGATAGCGCATATGGGCGGTATTAACGTCAGGAGTTATTTTTTTTACGTAAAGCGGTATCATACTTTTAAATTACAGTTATCGGAAAACCGTTTTACGTAAAATTTGCCTATTCGTATCCGTTATTTTATAATCTTAACCCAACTTGTACCTTATTCTGATTTGTCAATGTTGATTCTGTTGTTTATGGTCAGGGTCACAGGATTTGAATTTCCAAGGAATTTTCAATGCTTTTCCATTATTTTTTGAACATAAGTTTAACATAATATAACCTATAAAATTCAACCAGCCCGTTGTCAAAAACCTGCGCATGCCTATTTAAGCATTTTTTAGGCGTTATTCGAAATAGCGCTTAACGTAAATGTTGGGTAAATTACGTTATGCGGTAACGTTATTTCAGTACGTAGTGTTAAAAATCGAATCGCGCATACGTTTAATGTCAAAATAACGTGGGCGCTAATACTGCATGATGCTATTTGGGTTACCGATATCTCTCTAATCTTTCAGTGTAAGGTAAGCGGTAACGTCAGGCGTTAAACCTCAACGTTTTCAATCTGTAATTGGGGCTTAGTCTTCTAATCTAATATATATACGTGTAAACATTGTATCCCTTTTCCATTTTTTCCGAAAACATTTAGTATCATTTCTGCGATTCACTTAAGCATGTGTTATACATACATATACATAGCAAATTATGTGAAAGGGAATGATTTTTCTTACCTCTTTTCACTCCTCCCAGTTTAGGAACTTTAACGTAACCCTCATACGCCGTACCGATACCTCTTGTCGGGTCTATTCCAAGAGGTCGTTTAGCTAAAACACAAAAATATAATATAAAAAGTTTTGTTCCCAAAATGCAAAATCTTACTTTGATCAGGTGGAACTGGACACACGGCAGGCACGTGCGGACAACACGCCGTATGACAAGTAAATCCGCATATTTCGCACACCATACCCTGACGCATCAGACCGACCATCAGCGACGTGCAATGACTGCACTTCGTTGGACTAGAAAAAGTGCGCACCAGAAACTGATGCGCTTTGTGTTTCATCGGCGAATGGGTTTCGTGCAACATACTAACTTCCGATAGGTTGCTCTTCGAACTCACTATGCTGGGCGCTCTGTTGTCTTCTATATCCCCGTCTTCAGATTCTAGCGAGCCTCCTTGGTAGAGCTGAGGCTGCGATTGCGGCACGTTATCGTACATGTTTTGAGACGAAGCCGAATTGGTTTCTTTCAGGAATTGTTCCAGATAGGACATCTGAGACGAGGGTCGTTCCAAAACTAGAGAGGAAATAATTCATTTAGCGTTGCTTGATGGTAAATGTTTTGAGCCTTTCATGTTAAATTTCGATAGAATTAAATAATGTATTTGTATTCATTGAATGTATCTAAAATTAACACGAAAGGCGAGTAAAATTATTTTGATGAAACAACATGAAATGGTAAAAATTATTAAAAATGATGCATTAAAACGAGGTAACACCACAAGAACTATTAACAAAAAATAAAACCAAGACAAAACATCGGCAAATTTATTAAATTAAAAAATATATGCAATGTGTAGGTTACAGATATGGATTTTTTAGAAACGGGTTAATGATAAGGTCAATACAAGTGGATATCATTTTCAATGCATCAATAAATCAACAGAGTATAATGTTCGTGACGTGAAGCACAAACTAGCAAAGCTGGACAATAAATTGAGTAGTTTTTAAATGATATATGATGAGTAGGTATTTTTATTTTACTTCAAAGTATGTATACCAAATTAAAATTGAAAGGATTCAAAAATAGTGATAATATGTCATGGACAAAATAAAAATCAAGTAGCCTGTGAAGAGCCAGTAGATAGGCCTTTTCAATTTGTATGACATGATTGAGCAAATTTCATGGAAAACTTTTGTGAAATACTCTGTAATTGAGAACCAGAAAAGGTATTCTCGCAGAAATGGAATGGAATCTTTTTCTGGAAAGATGTTCTATATAAGACTTGATCAATGTGGAAATAAAAGTTGATTGATTTCATATACGGCAGCAAGGTAAGGTCTAGTGATTCCCTGATATTGCAGCTAGTTAGCTTATTGTATCCCTTGCTGTGTAAAGGACCCCGCACACTCTTATGGGTTTTTGGTTATCTGTCAAACTCAATGAAATTTTGCTATGTGTTAGACCTTGACTTCCTGATAAAAAGTTCTCATGGGCCCGAACCAATCCTATGATTAGTTTTTGAGATACAGATACTTTGATGTCCAAGAAATGTACACATTTTATATGTATTCACTGTCACCTAATAATAGGTCTGTTTCTGCAAAAATCACAAACCCGTCAGAGCGAATTTGATTGGTCGGAAACAGTCAGAAACAGTCAGGACACTAGTTTCAACCAATGAAATTCACTCTTGTAACAGAATTAATGTTAATTTTCAAATCTCGGTTCAAGTTTTAAGAAATAGATAAAAATTTATCTTAATGGGTTTTACAAACATATGGCGATTCTGGGAACGATATAACTAATCTGGTCGAGAATTGAGGAAAAACACTTAAAGCCAAATGTATCAAGTTTTATTAGTTTTCAAGTCGAAAATAAGCCAAATTGACAAATTTATTAGGCAAAATTATGTGTTCTCCTAGATTAACGCCAAATGTGATTCTAATCTGCAGCTGCACTAGATTACGACATATGGTTGTAATAAAGTACCCAAGAACGATATAATTCCCGTTTTATGGTCAGATAACTTATATTCGAAGCATGTATGTGTTTGGGCTAAAACAATGATCACGGAGACCCGATTTTCCAAGATATAATAACACGAAATTGTATAGAATAGGAAAATCAAAGGAGATAGTTAACTATCCAATTATTTTAGGCATAAATTAGTATTTAAGTATAGAATAATTTAATTCATTTAACACCTCAACTAGCAATTATATTTTATAATTTTTAACTCTCCGCTGCTATTTTATTCTATAATTAGTTTATTACTGCTCGTCGAATGCCATTTGTTTTATTAAAATTGCAAGCGAGATAATTAAGCTTCCAAGAAAGTATTCTGCTCTATAAGGTAGTCGTAAGAACGTTCTTGGAGCAAAAATACAAAACAGTTCGGTAACAAGTTTTAATATTGTTTTATGAACGTTTGCACAATGATTTTATATGACATTTTAGCTCACCGAACAAATCTGTTTTATATTAGATTTATATTGATGTTATCTGATACTAGTTCATTAGTTGACGTACATCTATAAAATTGTTTTATTAGCGCTATGTGAAACATTTATAAAATTAGTTTACTAATATTTTCTTGGGATATTATTGCTGTCTAAAGCATTTTACATTCAGATGGAATCTTGAGAAGAATATTATATAATTATCATGAGCTCTGTCATATTAAAGGCTGTATATAATAATTATAAAACAAAGAAACTGTTTGACTAGGTTAAAAGAAAGCATATAGAATGTAGGATTTTCCAATTAAGGGGAAAACAGTTATTGCAGTTATCGAAATTATATTTCCCATATGACTAGCGAACTCTGTTGGAGGGCTTTCAAACTATATCACTAAGGGTGCAAATAGAATGAACAATATGAGAACCAATGGGAACACGGCAAGAAACCAAAGGGTACTCTCAGCGAATCGCTGAAAGCTAAGAGGGTTGGAGATCCTCGATTCTAGCAAGCCGGGTACGGAGGGGAGCCAATGGGCTTCTAAAGTGGTACCCAGAGGGTAATTCCTTTCGCCTATTTAAGCACATGTAGAGGCCACATAACTTCAGTTATCGCTAATTCGCAACTAGTTTTTACTACGAGTGATCGCTGGAAATTTAAGTCGCAAAGTTTCAACGAGTTCTCGATCCGTTTCTCATCATCTAGTTCTGCCGCCCTGTGTTTTAGTAGAAGTTCTCCAAAGAGGTGATAGTTGTTATTTTTTTTAATTTCAATTCCAATAAAGAATCAGATTTGGGAACTAAACCTTTTAATTGGGAAATTACTCTTTGCTTTCAATTGTCTTTAATTTTTCTTCAGTTAAAAATTAATTATGGTCTTAAATAAGGTAATTTTTTTTTTGTTCTTTTTTTATATTTTACTTAACCTTTTTTTTTTATTATCACTAAATAATTAACACTGACTTTTCTTTTCGCTTATAAATAAATTAGTTTAATCTTTCAAAATTACTCTTTTCTTTTCTGGTTTTAAAATTCCCTCTAAAACACTGGTGGACGCGTAAAAAGTTCTTTCGTGCCGGTTTGTGCATTTGAGAAGAGAAGCAACATTGGCAATAAAAAGGTAGGTCTTCTTGAATTTATAACCCTTTGCACTAACCAAAACCGAAGAAGAAGAGAAATAAGGTTTTGTTTGGATTGCCTCCGGTTCAGAAAATTTGGTATCCCTTTTCAGAATAAATTTAATTACAGCATAATTATGGTACCCACGCAAACTAAGATGTGACAGAATTATTCACGCTACCAAAATGTTTATTCTTCGTAACATCTCAAATTTTGTCACATAAATAATTGGTGTGCAGCTTAAGGGATTTGAGATTTTCTTTTCCTTCAAAAACTCTTCATATTTCCATCAAATTTTCAATTTATTTTCCATATTACCGATATTGATTTTGACGAAATTAATTTATTTTTAAATACCTAATTTCACGGAAATAGATAAGCATTATTATTTTTATTTTAAAGAAATCTTGAACAATTTAGGATCTTAGAGAGTTTATCTTGTCGAGATGACCATGAGATCAAAGAAGTCATTTGATAGATCGAATTATGCGAAAAGGGTTGAATCGGTACGTTTTAAAAAGAAAGTAAAAAAAAAATAATAAAGAAAATAAGATAAAAGAAAGAATCGGAGGCACCCAGGAAGATGAAGAATTCAAGAACGACGTTGCATATTTGTTTAGTTACTAACATGGTTTTATTTTTGTTGTGAATTTTATGTTATTGTTATTGTTTATAAAGAAAAAAATTATTAGGTAAAGGTAATTGGTGATCACAACAGGAATGAATCAGTTGTGGTGAAACTAACATTTTATTGGTGATAACTCCCTTGACGTGATTTGTGCATTTTCGCGTCATTGTATAATGTACAGAATGTAACTAGGTATATTGCGATATTTGCTTAGTATAGGATGGTAATAATAATTATTATTTTCTTTCAGGAAAATTTATCGGTAGGTGAAGTTCTTAGTTATATGTTTACTTATTTATATTATTATGATTTACTTTATTTTTCTTTTGGGGTGTAAATATTATCAATTTATGAGTTAATTTCTGAGTTGACTTAAATTTGGTGATTTATAGCGTTATCAAGAAAATTAGCTGATTCAATGTTCTCTTTCAAAATTTTGAAGATGATTCCAAATTGTTTCCATTGGTTTGCTGACCGTCGTTTAGTTTTGTCTTTTTGCGTATGTAAGAAGCACAATGGTTATTAATTGCAGTTTTGCGATTATTTGAAGTTTGTTAAATTTTTGGAATTAAAAATATGGTCAATCTTCTGGCACGTTTTATTATTGAGCATATTTTGGAAACAAATTTTACAGTCTGTGTCTATGTCTATGTTGACAATGTGAAATTTTACAACTGTGTCATCTAACAGTTTTAATATTGATTTTGATGTTTCAGTTGATACTAATATTCACATTCTTTGTTTTAATAACTCATAATCGTAGGTATAGTTGGGATTTTATTTTAGTTTCGAAGAATTAGGTCGTTTAATCATTAAAAAAAAAATATAATATTATCTATAAGGTAGGTACAGTAGTAAAAAAGCAATATCACAATGGGTTATATAAATGCACAATAAATTTAGGAGGAATCACTGTAACTATTATTTTGGGTAGTATTGTTGCGTCAAGTTCGGATAGTTAACCCTTAGAGAGGTGTATTTATAGGTATTTAACCAGATTTACCTTTTATTTTATAGTACGGTTATTGCTTGAACTTGACTAACTAAAACAACGCTAAAAGTAAAGGGATTTCTGATCGTTATTCATTTTGAATAAGTCAAGATAAGTTTTAATTTTAGGAAAGTGGTGATCGCGGATCTCACTACATGAAAAGCAGATAAGTTGTGAAAAGAAGCAACAAGGAGTTACTTATTGGGTACCTATAAATAATAATTTTCTGAGGAAAATTCTAGGAAAAATAAAATTAATATTTTATTTTTGGAAAAAAAAAGGTAAAACCTAAGCTATTTACCGTTATTCTAATTACTAGGCACTAGAAAATTAGGAATAGAAATTGAGTACGTTCG